GGGGGTTGGGGACCGCTGCTCTAGAGGTTTGAGTTTCCAATACTAGCACAATCATACTGCAAATGACAAGGTCTACATTTAACCTTATTTAATTTGATGGAAAGGTGATGCTAAATTTTCCAAAGCTTAAGAAAGATTCCAGAAAGTAAGCAAGCCATCACCTCCATAACTACTATTTTCAGTATTTCATTGCCCACCAAACATACACCATGTATGAATAAGGATGCTCTAATGAGTCTGATACTGGTCTAATTGTGTCTGCACAGGAGGTATCAGGCCAGTAATCCTTTTCAGGTCACTAAAAATACGTGAATAAATAATAGTACATAGTACACAGAGATACACAGAGGTAAAAAAAAACAAACAAAAAAACCTCTTTGGCCATTGTGCCACACACATAACTGGGCTGAATAGTACATACCCTTTCAATCAGCTGCACAAGATAATTAGCAGAAATACATGGCTGATTATTTTTTTTTATTTGTAGACATGAATAAGGCACAGTTACCTTTACCTTTACTCGTGTGTTTGGACTGCAACGCCATAGAGTCCATAGCTATAATTGGTTTTGTCTATACATTAACCCTGTGACTGGCACCCACTTGTTCCAAAGTTGATATGGAGACAGACATAAAGATACCCTACTTTTAAGGAACTCCTTAACTTGACCAATTTCAATTCATAGGTAAAAGCATGGCTGGAGGACATCTAGCACCCTTACCCTATTATCTTGCAGGCCACTAAGATAATTCACAGGCTCAGTAGCACATAGGTTAATGAGAATCACGGTGAGACAGAAAGTTCTAATATTGTTTAGCTCTTAATTGCTGTATAGAGCTTGGGGGGCAGCATGTATTGGCAGATACGGTAATTTTCGCCTTTTTTGTCCTAAGGAGTACTATTTGAATGTCACATGAGGTCTCCAAACAATTTAGAATCAACCAAAAGGACCTGGGTGAAAGGCCTGGGGTGATGTAAGGAGAGTCTACATGATTTAGTCAGTCACAGTGATTCATAGCCAGATGGATGGAAGAATTGTATATATT